TGTGTTGGGGGCTCCACAGCTGGATGCTGGAGATTGTTGGCTTGACTTGAAGCCAGTAAATCAAGCTGAGCCTCTTAAATCACACCCTGCTGTGCTACGTTAACACCTGGAGATGCTCCTCTGGATGTGTAACCCTCACGTAGCTCCACGTGGCCAGAGCACTGGGCTCTGTCTTGACCAGGCAGTCACAGCCTGGCCTGGTTTGCAATGCACACTGCCATGAGCGAGCTCCACCCACACCAGATTGTGGCTAGAAACATCTCCAAAAGATTAAGGAGCGAGATAAGCCAGGGGACAGTTGCATCTAAACACTTCCCAGAAAACCCCAAATCCCCTGTTGTCAGTCGGAGGTTGTGGCCAGGGACTTACATCAGCTTCTGCAAGCACTCCGTGGCAGAGAGGAAACACTTGTCCTTGATAAGGGACCGCCTCTGAAAGGGAGACAAAGAGCTGAGCCTCTGTAGGAGCATCTTCCTGAGAGCCACCACAAGGTTCCTCAGTGCTGGACCCAAACCAAGCCTGTCTGCTGCCCATAAAGCAGGGCAAAGTAAAGCTGTGGTAGAGTGACACTTTGAACAGGGATGTCTTTGAAACACCACTGGGTAGAGACAAGCCCAGCGTGGTGGGGGAGCCTCAGTAGAGGGGGATCACCTCACCCAGCCCCCCAGCTCCAGCAGGTCACCCTCAACAGGGTGCCCAGGGTCACATCGAGGCACACCAAAGCACCATTTCTTACCTGGTTGGTTGTCAAGGTGAGATCTTTCAGAGGCCAGAGGTGTCTGAAAGGAGATGACAGAGAGGTTTAGAAGGTAGATGTCCATGTCTTAACTCCACCCTAAGTCAGCTTTGCCTGGTTTTATCTCCTCTCTCAAGGTGATGCTCAAGTCTTGTAGGTGCACAAGGCTGAGTTTGCTCCTCTCAGTAACCTGAGTTGAGGGTTCACTTCACTCACAGATGCTCCTGTACCAATCAAGGAGAGTTTTGGTGCTTTCAGATTCAAATCCTCTCACTGGGGCTAGACTGAATCAAGTCGAGACTCTGGGTCTCCTGCTATCCTAAGTCCTGGAGCTGGAGATGATGGTGTGTTAGACAAGCTCATAAGCCTCTTGAGTCCAAGTCATTGGTCCTCACATTTCACTTCCAAAGATGGATCTAGCTGGAGGAATGGGTGAAGGACACACCTGGCTCCACAGCCCTTCCCCTGTCTCCAGACTGTGGTGCCTGCGTCATTCCAGCAGAGATCTCTGGGACTTTCACTAGGAAGGACCAGAGCCCTTCCTGAGACACATTTATAGTCTGCCCGAGTTGGATACCCAGCTGGCATCACGGGGTTGCATCCTGGGATGAAAACAAGTCACTTACTTCTGCACATCCAGAAACTCCAGCAGCTTGATGTCAGGAAACAGGCTCAGGTCCACGATCCCTTGGCAGTAGAGATCATCTTCTCTTTCATGATAGAGCATGTAGAGCATGAAGAGCTCGGGGTAGAAGCAGGGCAGGATCAGTGGCAGGACCACACTGTAGGCCTTCTGGTCACTGCAATGGAGAAAATTAAGTGTCCTGCAAGATATCACCAGGAGACACCCAGCACACAACGGATGAGGCAGTTTCTGAGACTGCCAAGTGTTCTCCTTGTCCTCCAAGGTTCCTCCACCTCTGAGTTTAACATCAGGGTTGGCCAGTAGTGACCTGTGTACCTCAGTTATAAGCTGAAGATGCAAGGGCATCTTATGCTGTAGGGGAGGACAGAGGGCTGGTTCTCCACAAGATGTTCTTAGTCACTGGGAGAAACCTGGACCACAAGAGACCTATCTCCATCTGTCCTTTCTGGGCTGTTTCAGTAGAGTGCTTGTTTTTCCTTAAGGGACAAGGACCAAATCAATTCAGATAAAGCCCTTTTCCAGCTGCTTAACAACCAACCAACCTCTCGTCTCCATTCAGCCCAAATGGACAAATCCAATCTCTTCAGCACTCAGTTTATTTTAGAAGACAGCCCGTAGGTCCAAGAAGCTTAAAATGGAACCACCAGTGGTGACACATACCTTGTATCTCCATCCACACCCTTGGCAGGCAGTTGGCCTTTCTGCTCCAGTGCCAGATGGAGCAAACCCCTAGAAAAGGAACAGAACTAAGGTTTAGTTCCCCCCTCCTTTTTTTTTAAGGATAACTTTTTATCTACAAGTGAGGAGCTCAGTTGTCTCAGCATCCAGTGGGGCATTCCCAAAGCTCTGTGTAATCCTTGCAGTGCTGTCTCAGCGTTCCAGGGCTTTCTCCATCATCAGCAGAAGCTGCCAGGAGGTGTTTCAAAAATCCTCATGGCTTCTGAAGAGTAGAAGATCTTCTGGAGATCCTAAACGTGGTCTGCATTGAGCACCCACTCAGGGGACATCAAGTTTCAGGACTTGGCATACCAACCAATTCTCTAAGCCCTCTGTGAGCACTAAAGGATGATCTTGCTATGAAAAAGTAGCTTGGGTTTCCCTTGATGTTTCCAAGCCACAAATTGTCACAGACTTAAAATGGGGATTAGGGAGAGGCTGCCCCTTTTTTTTTGGTGTAGAAGTATCAGCCAAGGAAACGTAGCCAGGGGCACCACAGAGAAAGGTGGTTTCCCTCCCCATACTGCATCTTAAAGGCTTTGAGACATGAGAGGCTGGAAGAGGTTGCCCAAGGAAGTTGTGGATGCTCCAACCCTGGAGGTGTTCAAGGGCAGGTTGGATGGGGCTTGGAGCAGCCTGGTCTAGTGGGAGGTGTCCCTACCCATGGCAGGGGGTTGGATCTGGATGACCATTGAGGTCCCTTCCAACCCAAACCATCTTATGAACCTATGAAACAAGCTTTCCAAGGTGTGCACTGAGCTCAGAAGCACCTTCCCATGAACCTGTGCTGAGCTTGCCAGCCCTGTTGTGCCCACCATGTCTGTTCATAGCTCGGATGGACTGACTCAGGTCTGAGTGGTTCCCATCAGCTGTGACTGCTTGGGGACAGAGAACCCCCACCACAGAGCTGGCAGCTTTCCTCAAGCACCCAAAGCTCACCACAGAGCTTTCACCCAACCTCTTATTTCTGAGGCACTACCACCCTGAGTGCAGCTAGAGGCAGAGTCCCTCACCTCTACCTTCTGGAGCATTCCTTGTGTCTTCTTCTGTATTCAAACAGCACGAGGACCCCAATCACCTCTTTGATCTGGTCCTTAATTACCCATGGGCACAACCACACCACTGAAGAACCTCCCTGTGGAACCACATCAGCCAAGCCTCAACATGCCCACACTGCACGTTCTAGATCTAGGTTGGGTTGAGGCACGTTCAGCTTCAGCTGTTTTTCATCCAGACACAGATACCAACCACCTGTGGTGTGTCCTCTGATGGAGTTGCTGCCATTGTTACTTAGTGAGGTTTCTTACCCAGATTTGTGTTTTATATAAATAAATTGATAAATATCTTAAAGGGTGGATGTCAAGAGGGTGGGGACAGTGGTGCCCAGCAACAGGACAAGGGGCCCAAACTGGAACCCAGGAGGTGCCACCTGAGCAGGAGGAGAAACTTGTTTGGTGTGAGGGTGCAGAGCCTGGAGCAGCTGCCCAGAGAGGCTGTGGAGTCTCCTGCTCTGGAGAGATCCCAAACCCTCCTGGCTGTGACCCTGGGCACCCTGCTGTGGGTGAGCTGCTGGAGCTGGGGGGTTGGATGAGATGATCTCCAGAGGTCCCTTCCAGCCCCTACCATGCTGTGGTTCAGAAAATAAAGTCTTATTATGAACAACAGCTCATTAAGCTGCCACAACTTGGTGGGATGTAGTCTCATTAAAGGCCCTGGGTCATATACTGAGCAAAGAGCCTAATAAAAGTTCTCTAGTTCCATGTGCCCACAGTCACTGAAAATAACTCTTCATCTAGCATCATTCTGAAGCAACTCTCCTAAGAGATATACCAAGAAATAAGGCAGCCCTGTCACCCCAAAAAAATGCTCCCCATGGTTGCTCCACAAGCCCTCTGGGCTCATTCCCACTGGGAGGACTCCACGTGCTGGACTTACTGGTAAAACTCCCATATTTTCTTGGCGTAGTACTTGACTTCCTCTTGTGCCATAGTCAGCAAGTGTCTGTTGGCCCCAATCCCAGAGTAGGTTGCCTGAAAAGCTATTGTCAAGGCCTTCAGCAGCTTTCCCAGTGGATGCAGGGAAGACTTCAACGCCTGTGTGATAAAAGGAGATTAAATTTTCTGAGTCAGCCCTTGCCATTAGCACAGGGTAACAGCAAGAGGCCACCCAACCTTCTCTTGTCAGCAAAGGAGAACCAGCCTAGAGGTAATCAGCTATAATTTTGGCTTTTGCTGCCACAAGCCCGTTCTCCTCCTATTATTAAGCTCCAGGGAAAGGCTGGTTGAGTGAAAAACCACCACTGAGAGTGCACAGAAGTGTCTTCAACGTTTCCAGCTCCTGGTTATTCGCTGAGACAGTTTGAGAACCAAGAGTGAAGCTCTCTCAGCACTTTCTGGTAGAACTGTACTCAAAATGAGTGTCCAAAACACACAAAGGGTAAAACTCCCTTCTTCACAAGCAGAGAGATCCACACATCATTCAGAGAAGACTCTTGAAGTCACCAGGGAATGTTACAAGTGACAACAAAAAGCAAGAGAAAGTCTCTGGTGGGCAGATGGGGGTTGTTATGGTTTGAAACTTTACCTTCTCTAAATAACCCTGCAGTGACTCCAGCTCCTGGTGGTGGACAAGCTCTTCAAGAATATCTTCTATCTTCCAGGAGACATCCTCAGCCCCCCTGAAAAGAGGAGAGGTGAGGAAGGAAAACCACACAGTGGAGCACGGGAATAAATCTTAGGTAGATTCCAAGGGGAAAATAAGAGTGTTGGAACCAATGAACTTTTCTCTGGCCTTTGGAGGGGAATTGCTCCTCACTGGCTTGCAACGCCTGTAATTATCTAATTTCATCATCACAACCAGCCTGGGTTGGATCCTGCACATCCCTGTCTGATCGATTTTGGGTGTTTTCATAGGGGAGATGACTTTGCTCTGCATCAGCTGAAGATCTCACCTCGGTTGCCCTCAAATACAAGAGGAGCCAGTGATGACTGGGTCACATGCAGAGGCTCACACCTAAACAAATTCATCCCATCCACATTTTCAGTTCTAAGAATCAGTCTCAACAGCAGAATCTTAAATTAAGGCTTAAAAAATAAATTAAAATGGAGGCTTAAAATTAATCCTCATGTCTCATGTCTTTGGGCTCTCAGGACCTTGAGGGGCTGGAGCGTGGCCAGAGAAGGGCAACGGAGCTGCTGGGGAAGGGTCTAGAGGCCAAGTGTGGGGAGGAGCAGCTGAGGGAGCTGGGGGTGCTGAGCCTGGAGCAAAGGAGGCTCAGGGGAGACCTTCTGGCTCTGCACAGCTCCTGACAGGAGCCTGGAGCCAGGGGGGGTCAGGCTCTGCTCCCAAGGGACAAGGGACAGGACAAGAGGAAACAGCCTCAAGTTGCCCCAGGGGAGGTTTCAGTTGCCCCTGAGGAACAATT